CTGTGACCAGGGCACGTCCTGCCGTTGGGGAAATCCATTTCAGTGAGCCTTCCCTTTCTCATCCCCCATCCTGCCAATCATCTCCCTCAATACTCCCACGTTCCTGTTTTTTTTTTCGGAGATTACTTTTTCGAGAATTTTCCACTCCACTCTTCTCCTTATTCTCAAAAAAAGTGCCGTGGAGGCGCGGTGGGGATAAGGAGGTGGGGGGGGGGGTGTATAGCGCTTTTGGAACAGGGTGAACAAAAAAGCAACAACAGCCGGAACCGAGAACATTTTTCTTACATGGAATGCGACCCCTATCCCTCCAGGGAGCAAATGTGACCTTCTCGCTGGGTATCCTCAACGGACGATGTGCTCCAAACGTAGATACTGTAATCAACACCTATTTAAGAACTGTATCTAGTTGTCCTCGTTTCTCAAAAATCGCTTTTACAGATGTACGGTGAATACCGATTTGCTCTTTCGCCAAACGAGCAGAAGGCATTCAAGGGATTTCTTGACCAGGCTGTTGTCAAGGTAAGAAAATTAGCTTCGTTATCTCTCAACTTGCCGCCTTCCCCCTTCCCCGATTACTAAAATTGGGAAAATTGGGGAAGCTCATGTAGAGTTGAATGTACCAATTTCCATTGGCTGCAACCAACAATTTCTGCCCAAATCTCATTTTTTTTTTTGTTGCTGAAAAGCTGCCCTTGTTCAACATCTCATAGACTTGTACCTATCAAGGAGAGGTCTTTCAGGTCATGGCGCTTTTTCAGAAATGGTTTGTTGCATGTTGTAGGGGTCCATATAAGGGTCACAAAAATGGGTTTCGTTTTTGCTATGCGTTTATGGGAATGCCAAAAAATGAGTGAAAACAATTTGACAAGAAAGGGCGATTTTAACCGGCTTATTGGGCTCTGTTGTAGCTGCAACTTTGAGAGTGCATAGTTTATGAGGTGTTCCTTCACTATGTATCGAAAAGAGAGCAAAATAAAGTCAAAAAAAGTGCATGGAGAGAAGTAGTACCGAAGTTACTTCAACGATTCCCGCAACAACAGTTTCGTGGTCGACGGATGGCGGAGTGGATAGTGCGATGGGCTCTCGAAAAGGTGGTTTATGGATCGGATCCTCCTGGCGACGAACTTTTTGCATTTTTCGTACTTCCGTCTTTGTTCCTGCGTGCGTGATGAGTATATAACATGGATATACACTCCTCATCATTGCGGACCGGGCGTGTCAGCCAGAAGGAGTGCGCACACTGTTGAAGCCGTTCTCAGCCTTTTTTTGCAACGCGTATGCGACAAAAAGTGGTAGAAAACGAGTAATACGAAGGATATAATACAGTAATGCACTTGTTGCTGTTCGCTTCAAAAACTGGTGCAGAACGACTTTGCCAAACCGCACCAAACGCAGCCGCACTGCCACGCCCCACCGGTCCGCAATGATGAGGACTGTATGCCATTTAAGACCTCATTCTATACTTCGCAGCAAGAGCATTCTTGCACTGAAATCTTTGTCAACCCCCACGCAGGGGCTGTTAAGCGCCATGCCGGCGTCAAATGGCCTCGGCGCATAAAATAAGTGTCAAAATCGTAAGCGGGGCTACCAATTACTCCTGTATACGAACTTCCAGCAAGAAAAAATTTTTGTGAGGTTTGGTGATAATGGATCGACCACTTGGTAGGCAGTGGCACCAGATCAGCGCATCCAGCTTAAGTGGTTCCACATTAACTTTCAGGTGTAGGTAGATATTGCGCAATACATATATATGTTCCTTTGTTGTGATGAAGGACGAAGGTCTCATTTGCTAGGCCACGACTCGACATAAGAAATGATAAGAGCCTAAGAATAATGGCGTTCAAATCGCTTTTCTCTCAGCAAACTTTTCATTCATTTTTTGACATTCCCAGAAATGCGTAGCAAAAATGAAACCCATTTTTGTGATCCTTATATGGACCCCTACAAAATGCAACAAACCATTCTAAAAAGCACGCCATAACCTGAAAGACCTCCCTTGTAAGAGTAATGAGAAGTACTGATCGTGAATATGGCAGTTATTTCTTGGCAGGTCGCATCAAAAGATGAAAAGCTGCGTTGTTATATACGCGACACCCAGAGTCCAGAAGAGTTTATGATTGTCCGTGGTGCCAGATGAGGAAAATTGCGGCACCATATAGCGCCGGCCCTAGAACTAATGTGGTGTTCGCGATCAGGACATCATTTAAACCGTTTAGAGGTTTCAGCAATTGTCAAGGTTTTCTGGTAGTACTGGCCTCTTTTTATCCGTTCGTGACCATCCATTTTGAGGTACCTATATTCAGACTGGTAGCTCTGTTTCAGGTTTTCAGAAACTATGTTTGGTATGAGTGGCCCTACTACCTTCTCAGGTCATCGTGGCTATCTGATCTAACGATTGGGCAAAGAAGAAGAACTACCAGGTCAACCGTAAGAATCCGGCTGACTACGCGAATGATCAGTAAATCACATAATGGTTATATTAATTGTGGTGAACTAGATGAATAAAACATAGGTTTATTACTGTATATCTCAGACGGATATCCAGCTGAAATGTCGGGGGCTCCTGAAGAGGTGTTCCAGATAGGCTGATTATATTCTGGTCGATGCTGCCAAAGCGACAGGGCGGTGCGGGAAGGGGGGGGAATTCAATAATGCACACACCAACAAAAATGAAACTGTATGATAACATCTTCAGCCATGTCATGGTTGAAGTTACAGGCTTTCTGATGGGTCCTTAAGGACGAACTATACGCTCATCTCTGTGGATCCTAGTCCTTGCTGTAAGAGGCGAATGGGTCCGCAGTTTCGCGCTTCGTCGCCCAACATTCTTCCCTCAAACGTGGCACGGTGAGGCTAATAGTCCATGGGCGCTGCCGTCCCCATTTCCCATCGGCGCCCATGCCTCTAAGGTCAGCAGTTGCGCTCGAGCAAGCCCAGGCAAAGTCGGGGGTCGTTTTTGGGCTAGAAAAATTGCTTTTCTCGGGGGTACACTAGATGTCCCCGTTCGCATTATTGACAGCAGTTTTTCCCGAAAAAAGCGGAAAAATTTTGTAGAAGTGGAGAGAAGTTGGGGGAATTAAGGAAGATGGTAGGTATGATGGGCCATGGGGAAAAGAGTCGTACCAGGGGAGGGAAGAGTCGTTCTCAAAAAAAAATCCAGAATTTGCCTCTTGCCTACACAGAGGTAAACGCGCTACTTGTCTGCGTCGACTCCTTTTCGAGTATTCGGGTGGTTGAGATCTTGGTGTCGACGGAGTGGTGGCATCTATTTGGATAGTGCACGGCGGTATGGAGACGCACCCTGTATGAACTGACCGTTGGCCCTGTTCTCATAGTGATTTTGACGATTTCGCCTATTTGTGGAAGACCGAAACCTTTAGAGAAACCAAGCGGTCTCTCGCAAGCAAGCAGAGCCACGCCAAAAGTTCAACTAGTCACGAAACATTGATGAACACTAGGTAAGCGAAAGGAGCTCGACGCGCTGCCTCGTATTCCCACCCCTGATTAAGCTGTTGCCATAGTTTGTCCATGTTTTGCTAGGATACTCATATGACTTTCATGGAAAGTTTCGCGTTTACTTCTAACAGCGGAGAGTAAATCATGCAGGTGTCGCTCCAGGTTATTTATTAGCGAGAGTTTAGTACTGGGAGGCTGACTAACCAGACTTTTTCTATGGACAGCTGCTTAGCAGTGATTGATTATGTCGTTCTTGCCATTTCGAGATAAATTATAACCTTTGCGATAGCGCGTGATGAAAAATGGCTAATTAACTTCTTGTTGTCTAGACCTAAGCATACGATATAGCTCCTCTGCTCATACTTCTGCTACGTCATAACAGCCTTCCGATACCGGCCTGCCCTGCTGAACTCCGCGCGCGCGCTATTCTCAAGAGGTGCAGCCCTTGCGCGTTGTGTCTTATATCAATATGCCGCGAAACCACAGTAAGTGGAGAGAACAAGCTAAGTTTGCAGAGGGCCAGACAGTAGCGCGTTGGTTATGGTCGCGTGCGGCAGCGCGGGCGGCAGTGTGCGAAAGGCACTCGGGTATCACCACCCTCTTGCTCCGTTCTCGTGCTCTTTTGAGCAGAGAAAGTGGCACGCAACCGCAGTTGCAAACCCATTCAACCGAAGCAGGGAACGGGATCCACGGACGTGTGTACAATTTGTTTCTGAATACCCTATAAATGGAACTCCAGTGATAACTCACGCAAAGGACTGGGCGTTTGACGCTGCGAGGCTGAGAGCGCAGCGCAGCCAGGGCGGCCTTGTTCCAGAATGTGTCATCCTGAGTCCGCTACAGTCGATGAAAAATCCGCTCTGGTTGCGCTCCAAGCCGGTCGCTGTCTGCGCTGTGTCGGATCACGACTGTATGTACACTCCTTATCCCTGGGTCGGAGTAGGCGTGGCATTTGAACATGGCGTAGGGTGGGTTACTCATGGGATACTACCATTTGAGTCCATTGTTACCTTGTTCCGTGTAAGCCGAAGACGTGAGTACAACTGCCCCAAAATCAAAATATCTCACGAAAAGCTTAGCTGCCGGCACGTTCAATTCACGAACGCAGCCACGTTTACCGCATCTTAGGGATTTTGAGTGTATTTTCAATACAGGACTTCAATGTATAGATTTTGTGAGCTGAAAAAGTAAAGGTGTATCTGGTGTACCAAAGAGGTTACGATACAATACTATTTATTGTACTTAAAATTTCATAAATACAGAAAATATGGATTTCTTAATCCTAAGTGTGAGCAACACTTGATCCTGTGGCGACAAAAATACCACGTAGTTCGCGATGTCGAACGAAAAAGATCAGAAAATTGACCATCGTCTGAAAAGAGCTGAAATAAGGAATGACATTTTTTGCAAAATGGTAATGGCAGTTGTTATCAATGAAGCCAATCAGGGCGTGTCAGCGGCGCGTGATTGGCGCGACGCCCCACATGCCACTGACACGCCCCGACTAAATTCGGTGATGACGACTGTGAGTTCCAAGTCACCGGTACTGGGCTCATTTAGCCTGCACACTCAACCAAAGTATCGCCGTTTTTTTCCAATAGGAGCTAAAAACAAGTCCAATATTTCAAGGCTTACCTTGTTTAGTATCAGCAAATATAGGAGTAGCTTTCCTGAACTATCAGTCAGGGGCCAGTTCCAGTATAGCAAAACATCCGGAATCAAAAAGCAA